AAGAACCAAAATCCGTCGTACGACATATCAAACTTCACGATTTTACTATACTCGGCCAGTAGAGGCCTAATTGAGAGCCAACGGTCTCAAAATTAATAAAAACTTTTTATTTATTAATTTCTAGTTAATTATGTATTGTGAACTTTTGAACTTTTAATTACACACATTTTTGTTGAAGCAACCAAGTTACTGTCTCTTTTTGGTGAAACATTATTTACGATCTTTATTACAAACACGTTCTTTTCAAATTTTCATATCTAAAAATGGTGCTAGTGGATTTATATGATATTAGCTGCATTTCAAAGACCGCGTTTCCATTCATCTACACTGAGAAAACTGTGCAGGTTTTAATCTAGGTCTGGCAAAGACGTAATGATTTTCGAACCAACTTGAACTGTCAAAATCGAACAAGTTTTTACTGTTATTTTAAGAAGGAAACAGATAGAAGGTATTGCAATATGAGTGAAAAGTCAACCTTTTTTTCTCGGAATTAACTTCATGGTTATGACCAGTTGACTTGAAAATACGTTATTGCGAAGGCAACTCACAGATAACAAATACATTGTTAGACTGAGTCAAGCTCAGAGAAGTGAGTTGCCCTTTTCGCTCATTATATCCACAAATCGCAACATGTGCTTATTTCACGAGACGAGAGTGAGTGCATTCTTTGGTAGTTTGGGGTTACAGAGCAATAGCGAATTTGTTTATTCCCAGGTTGGTACCAGTTCAAACCCTGTGCAAACCCGAACTTTTTGTCAGCGTGAAAGTCGACCCGTGCCAGGTTATAAAAACAAACGATCAAACTGACGTTTGCTAGAAAACAAGCCGACCCTACTTGATACGCAATCCAGGTTGGAAAGCTATAAGCAAGCATCAGCAGATAGGTGCTGACCATCGGTAGGGGAGAACAGTCTATAATCCACCCCCGGGGTAAAATGGCGCCGTGCGGGTTTTCGTTGCTATCCCATTACAAATTCTGGAAATATCATGTGCCAGAATGTTAATTCAAGCACTGAACTAGCAATGCTGATTGTGAAATTCACGAATTGACAATCGTAAAGCTATGAAAAACAGCGCAGGGCCATTTTACCCCAGGGGTGCGTTTTGAACCATCCTACCCTAACTTTGAACACGAAGGCTGAAACGAGGAGGATGCAAACAAGTCGACTCTTTCGTTCTCTCGGTTTCGAATGCAGCAACAGACGTGACGTAACGTCTGTTGCTGTATTAGAACGCGATGAGAATGAAAGAGTCGACTTGTTTTCTTGCATCTCACCTGTAAATAGCGCACATTTGGCTCGGTAGTACATCGGATAGTTCTGTCAACACGGTGAACTGTTCCTTTCTTTTTCACTCCACCGAAAGGACCAATGCCGTCAACGCAAATACATGTCTCTTTCTTAATTCACAGACTGAAAAAGCAAAAAAAAAAAAAAATCACGATCATTATGGCATCAGTTGTACATTAATCCGAACAACTTCTTGTACTCAGCTGTACGCATTGAGATCTTTAGTTTGTAGCGTGCACTCACAACAAGACTTGCGTAGTATAAGTAATGTATCGTGAGTGTACAGCAATGATGTAGTTATCGTCTTGCTCTCTTGGTATCTTGGTAACTCACTGTTCGAAATGCTCTCTGCGTATTAGTGTTAAGAGTCAGAGTTCATCGTTAGCTTATGATGATGCCAAAAAATCTTGTAGCAGGTGTGTGCGTATTAATTGATCGCTAGAAGCGATTTTTTGACATCACTGGTTATGAGACAAATACGTATTGTGTGGTTGTTTTTTGCTACGAAATCGTATTTATTTTTAACTTCCAAATGTTTTTCAAACGAGATGAAATTAATAAATTGATAAGCTTAGAATGAATATCGTGGTATTCAAGCAAATCGATTGGAACTTCAGGTGTATAAAAATTTAGTTTCACTTCCATAACAACCGATTCAAAATGTGCACAACACAGCCCTGCACTTAGGGAAATTTCCATTTCCGGATCCATTTAGCAAAATGTTTACCACGCACGGCACAGGAAGCGATCTTTCTCGTAACATCGCATTTCAACTGCTTACGAAAGCATGAGCAGGAGCATGATTGACCGCCCACGGTTGCTACTCTGTTATTTCCAGATCAGCTGTTATTACACAGAGACCCAATAGACGATGCTTGGGCCTAGCAATCATCCTCAATGTGTAAAAACTGGTGATCTCAAACTAGGCAATACCAGCACCGGCCACGCCCGAACACAGGTCAAGAAAGGAATGGGTAGGAATGTGTTGACGTGACACTCGCTTTCAGTGCTGTGAATTCTCAAAATCAATTGAACATTTTTGATGAAAATGAGAGAAGCAGTTATTCGCAATCAAAGGGGACCTCCTTCGAATGGGTGATATCAGTTGCTTAGTCATTTGACGAATGCATGGATCATTCTCATTTGAGAAACGCTTGATTTAATTCAATTGATTGTAACCTACACATAAACGGAGCTCTGGTCGACATTCCGGCGAAAAAGCTAAGCCAACCCGACACCAACCTGACTTCTACCAAACCCCAACACGATGTTGACCCGACATAAACCCGACAACAACACGACATTGGGTCGACATAGACCTTAAATTTGCCTTACATTGATCCGACATCGGGTCGACAAGTTTGTTCGGGAACATTTTGCTGGGTTTCTTCCATATTCCATACTGTCGTATATCAAATGATAGTCAGTGACTCAATTGGCAGTGACGATGAGGTTCGAATGAGAAAGGGGCTCTTCAAATTATGATCATGTGAGAAATCGTTTTCACAGAATTGATTGAATGGTTGCATTGGTTCATCTGCAACCGAATGATATGAACATTAACAGCACTGCTCGCTTTAATGGAAGGTGAGCACATCTCTGCACTTCCACGAGGAATCACTAAGATATTGGGTAAGAGGGTTGGGTTTGCAGCAGGGGTCGTTAAGCAGAATTGATATCCTAATGATCCTAAGCGATAAATGAATCTTGAATGTGGGGGGAGGGGGAAGGGTTGAGATTAAACTCATTATGTTCTACTTAGTAAGCAAAAATCGCTCTAAGGTCACCAAGTCCCTCATATTACATCATTTAAGCTACGATCGCGTTGCTATTGCAACCATTCAAAACCGGCCCCGAAGCTGACGTTGATGACGATGTTAAGTTGCATAAAACACACGATAATCAAGCGATGTTACTATAAGTCTCCTTAATATTATAGGATCTGGGATTTATTCAAACTCAAACTCGACGGCGGTGACCTTTACACAAGAATAAGTCTCTATGATCGATGATCTTTTAATCCTGGAGACAAAAAAGCTACGCGACATCCATTGTTTCCATTTGGTCCTTACGTAAGACGGGAACAGAATTCATAAAACTTTCACATTTTTGGACTACCGTGCCCCTTACTTCACGAAGTAAACTACAACTGACGCGACGATTTTACCGAACTCTATTGCGTTTTAAAACGACTGTGGTCTCCTTCATATTTCACCGAACCGCCCCGCGTCAACTACCGCATCAAAACTACCAAACCACAATCAAACACGACCCGCCGTGACTACCGTCAGTCTTCAACCACGGCTCTCATGATCGTGTTGAGGACGCACTCAACAACACATCAAAAACTAATCGGTCAAGTGCCAAGCTTGCATATTCGATCGCGACATTTATTTTTTAACGAACTATGCTTCGAGATGAAAAAAAATCATTATGCATTATTCGTAGGCACCTAACCGTAAAAACCGAGTAACATGCCTCACGCGATCGAGGTCATACCTCTGGCAAATGGGAAACGATGAAAATATATTTCGATTACTCCCTCGAAGGGACGCACCGCTCCCGCAACCGGCACCGCACCGCTCCAGCGCAACCGGCATCTCGGCCACGCATGTCAACACCACCATCAGATAGGGGAAATTTTCCCCTACCTGATAGCGGCAAATGCAAATGCAATCGAGAAATGTATAAGAAAAATCTTCATCCGGAACGTACTCACCAAATCAATATTTTTCTCTAGTCAGCCACACAATAACTAAATATTACTTATATTTTTCAATTCACTCTGTGCACAAAATCAATGCACATCGCAAAAATCTAACAATAGATCAGCGCTGTCGAGTCACACCGGCAACAAAGGGAAGCGAGAGCACACCAAGCACCTTAGCAGTAGGGAGAAAACATCAGCACAAACCTTTCCAAATCAAATTATCGTGCCCGGGACACAAAACTATTCAAATTCAAGCACCGAAAAACTCCAGCACAAAGACAATCCGAACTCAATAAATAAATAAAATAAAATAAAAGCCGCAGCGGAGCAAAAATACTGCCGTTCTCGAACGATTCTCAAAGCAAACTCCGCATTTCAATTGCTTACGAGAAACGAAAAAACGAACAACTAGGTAATGTAGTTACAAGAGAGTCATGCACAGCTCATGTACTAATTTGCTTTGTTTACCTACTTGACACCGAGGTCCTAGGTCTTAATTGAGGAACTCATATATTTAGCTTCTGGAAAGGGCGTACTTTTATAAGGAAATCGTCTATATCAAAAAGAGATAGCACTTTGGTTGCATTATCAAGAATATCTAAAATAAATGGTAAAACTTTACCCAAGACACTATCAACCTAAAATTAATGGCTTGGGTGCAAACTATTAATTCCTCCAAAGTACGGCATTTGGACCACTGTGCACTCACGAAATCTCTTCAAATCTTTTAGTTTTTATTCGTTCTAAATCTACGGGTCAAGTCATCGTTAATAATGTTGAGTTTATGGTCCGTTTTTCTCTAGAAAATTGAGCGGAATGTCCCAAAAAGCCACATATACATTTTAGGGTGTGGTTGCGAGACAATATTATCATATGTATGATTTGATTGCGATAAGGTTAAAATTCATAATGGGATTGATATTACTTACCTTTTTTTAATCATTATATTCTCAACTTGGAACATCGGATCAGAAATGTGTGTTTGCCAACTCCAGTGTACGAAATATAATCTTTATTAAACAACAATAAATAATAACTCAATTCTACCTATAAAATCTTTGAACAGGACAATACTGTTAAAACTATTTTAAGGTCTCTGTAAACTTCATCCTTCAAATCGCGCCCCTGTAACCTATGAACTGCTTGCTTCAGACGAACTTAATGCCTCGCTATTCTGCTTGGAAGTTAAATCCTTTTTAACCCTTGAATTCTGTAATTTACCACTGAAGGTTCCTACATCTCCGATTTCATCGTAGTTCTCATCGTCCACATCTAAAGTCTCGTAATCCAAGTTTGCTCGGTAGTAAGCTCCGTTTCGGCGAGTTGGTAGGAATCCACTGTATAGCAGAGGTTCTTTTTCATTACTTCCAGCGTAGTATGTTTTGGAATTGGATTTCTGTATGGAGAGAATATTGACGTCCTCAAGACCCGACGGTTTCTGCGGAGCTGGTTTGACACGTTTGCCCTCCACCGACTTGTAAAGATCGACGTCAACTGCCTTGTACTCTGTTTGTGATGAGGGTGGTATTTTTCTTGCGTAGTTAGGATTGCCAGGTGACTTCTTGTAGTTGGGAGTGTTGTTTTCCTTGCCTCTGTTCTGGGATGATTGAAGAACAAAGTTTGCTGGGAATTTGTCTTCATCACGTGTCATAGCAATTCCCACGGGTTTGGAATGTTTCATTTGTTTTTGTGGTTCAAACTCGAGAAACTCGTCGGCATCGATGGCAACCTGGTGGAAGTCTGAGCTTGAACCATATGCATCGCGTAGATCGTCTGTATCGAGATTATGAGCTACAGGATTTGTGACCGGTTTGGGTTTCTTTTTCCTGCGAATCTTGTTGCGGTTAACGGTAGAAGGCGGTGAGTAGAGCTCTTCTATTGAAAAGCCATCTTCGGGTGGCTCCGAAGGTCTAGTTTTTGTTTTGACGGATACCCTTTGTGATTCAGAAACACCATCATAGTATGAGTTCAGGTTGGAGAATGGATCATTGTCGTTAATGGTTTGTACTGAGCTAACTAATGACTTGTTTGGATTTGGTTTTGTGGGAGTGTGGAACTGATCTTGCTCATAGCGATACGGTAGGCTCGGATAGTATTCATCATCTTCTTCATCAGTTGAACTATGCGATGTACTGTGTGTTGAGGATATACTACTAGTTGAATGAGTATTGGGATTTCTCTTGTATGTGGAATCGTAATCTTTTGTAGGTTCGAACAAATTCGATTTAGTATGCGTTATGGGTACTTCATAGGAGGTTAAAGGTGTTCTAAATGGGTTTTGTCTGAAGCTTTCCAGAGGAAACTGGTTCTTGGGGGTTTCAATGTCGGTATGATGTGTAAAACTTGTCTGGTCTTTGTTAAAATTAAAATTGGAACCATCTCCGATAAACGATGGTGAGGATTGGTAAGATGGTTGTTTGTTATTAGTGAATGAGGATTGCGAGAAGTGCCCACCAAATGTAGGTATTTTGCTAGCTGGAACGCTATGTGAATGACTATCCAGTAGTCCTGGAAATTTCGAGGGATCGAATCCTTTCAGGTTAGAGGATGCAAGCGAGGGTTTGCCAAATCCTTCGAAACTTGTACTTTCAAAGTTTGGTCTTCCGAAGGTTGACCCTTGATATGAAGTCGTACCTTGGCCGTAGGCAAATGGTGGTGAACCAAATGCTGGTGATGGTTGAATTGGGCTTCCGTAGCTAACTGGGGGCTCCGCAAAGGAGTTATGGTCCGAAAAAGATGTTTCATAGCTCGTACTAAATGTATCATCAAAGTTATGGGGGCTGTACTGCGATAACGGTGGGAAGTTAATGTTTGGTGGCCCATACTTTACTTTCGGCTTTGGTGGTCTTCTCGGTGGCCGAGGTTTGCGGCGTGGGGGTGGCAGTTTTGGTCTTCGCTTAATTACTCGGTGTATTTCTATCTCGTGGCGCTTTTGTCGATGAAGCTTTGGTAGTTCCTTGTCATTTGTCAGTGGTCTTGCCGTGTTGGTGACATCGAGATCGGAAGCTGGTTGCAATCCATTATGGTTGGTTACTTCTAGGGCTACAGCAGAGCATATGATGAACAGCTAGAAAACAAGGAATTTACATAGTTGGATAAACGTCAAATATCACTTTGACTATATGTTTAGTATTACTTCTGCGTGAAGTCAACGATTTACATAGTTGAAGATGCTAATTTCAAATAACAGACTGAAGTGGTAATTTTTATACGATAGATGAGGAGATGAAAGTATAGAATAGATAGTTCCGTTTAGAGTACGGCAGTGTGAAAATTGCATATAGAAGTAGAAAGCAAGCTAGACAACTTTTAGGAAGGTACAAATCAGTTTTATCATCTCTCTTTACCAAACTCCCCCTTTGGAGAGGGATGGTGAGGGGTGTCCCCCCCCCGCCACCACTAGCAAAAAGAGATGATCACCGACCCGCTCATGCACCAACGATGTGTTTGAAACAGTTCTACCGATTTTTACCGCACTCCAGTTGTTATCTGAAGGAAGGCATCCAGTCTTAGGTTTTGGAAATTGCAACTATTGTTACCTCTACCACGGTATGTGCTCCTGTCATCGTCGACTTGACGATCTCGAGGGGACACTGGTAGGGTAGGTTCTGCTACTGTACCTTTCGACCAATGACAGTAATTGATGGTATGCTCCCATCCAGAGTTATGTACTTTGACTATATGAAGTTGAAAATACGCACTTGTCACTTGAAAATTCATATTTGTAAACCATACAAATTCATGAAATAAATATCATTTAAAGTTAAAAAAAAAAAAACATCTGGGTGGAAAACACTCTCCGGTGGTTCGTGTCAGCCTGACATTTACCAGAAATATTCGTGCAGAATGTAAGAGGTACTGTTTGTACTTCTCGTACCACAGGCCTTTCTGTTGTCAATACTGGAAGTCTAAAATGGTGGTACCCAAGCAAAGTCCAGCATCAAAATGACAGCAAATTGAAATTAAGTTTTGATATCAACATCAAACTGAAATCATAATTTGATTTCAGTTTCGCAATTCACAATTTTTATACCATATTTTGTTTTCATTTTGCTGTACATTTGCTCTTAAAACATATGTTGTTGCGGGTTTGTTTTCATTACCTTAGCATAACATCAAATTGAATACTTGTTTTGTTATCAACAGGAAAAACTTATATCAAATTTAGTTTTCAGTTTGCTCTCACTGATAGCAGAAATAGTTTTCAATGTGATGTCACAGGAAGATTTTTTGCTCTCAATTTAGATATTTTAACCGTTAAAACGACCAAAATGACAGCAACCTGAGTAATCATTATCAGCGAAATCACAACATCAAATTTAGATTTCCATTTGATCTCAGACTTTGCTCGGGAACCCATACACATACAAATAAAGCTTTTTATTAACCTTCATGCATATATTTGTTTATTATTCCTTACTTTAGGTAAAAAATCCCGATATAAATGGATGATAATTTTCTTCATTTTTATCCCTTTTTTAAATTTTAATCGCTATTTTCCAATCCAGTTATATTTGTTGCTTGATACGGTTTTGATCATTCGCGAGAATTTTGCGCATTTTTGAACAAGGGTTCATGCGGATTTTATTCCAAATTTCTCGTAACAACCCTAAACATTTTATCGAATGCTTATGTAATCTAGTAACAGGCCGATGCCTGTTCGTGACCTTTCGTAATTTATGCACAGCCTCTTTCTACAGTTGGTACCCCTACATTGGATAAATATATTTTGTTATATATATAGGCCTGACCAGCCTTGGTGAGTCTGAAAAATACCTTTTCCTTTGCAGTAGACACTAATCTACGCTCAAGGCATAGAGTAACGGCTAATATTCATTTTGGAACTGTAACAACAGCAGCAGAGTAGAATTAGTGAATGTTGTTGTGGGCCATGTGACACTGCTCTCCAATCAAACAAGCTTTGGTGACCTACCCGCACTACGATAAGTGCAAGGGAAGGCAGTGCGAAGCGCACCCGCTGGTTTAAAATGGTCAAAACTTTCGCAAAGCTTGATAGAAAATTTCCCATTCACATCAACAAATTATTTTTTGAAATCCTCATGAAAACGGATACATTTACCCCTGGGACCTTATATGCCATATTCAAGTCGAAACGGAGCCAAAGGACGGCTAGGTCGGCAAAATTACCTCCTACAGCGTGTGCCGCACATACCACGGCAATTAAACGAACGACGGAAAAGCGGTCGAATTAGTTTTTACTTTTTCTCATTCTTTGGTTGATTTTTCTTTCACTACATCCACGCGTCTAGTCAGCAATTGCAATCCAAACTGGTTTTCTGCATTGGCTTTCGATTTTTAATGCCCCATACTACTGCTACGTCTAGGCAGCACCTATTCTTCTTGTCGACCCCTCTGAATCGTGATGGAACTATTATGCGATATGGACGTTAAGGATGTTCAACTCGGCGATGGGTTTGAGTGGATTTGCAAAAATGTAATTTGTATGGCTCGTTGGAATGGGATCCACAGTTTCACACTTTTTACTCTTTTACTCTTTCGCTGGAAGATTGGATTTTTGAACTCGTCCAAAAATGATCATTGAGTTCATCATCCGGAAATGGACGCTTTCATACAATATTTTGAATATTTCATTAAATGACTTATGTAACGATAACTAGGAGACCCATTTATTTAATACTATTTATATGCTCACACATATGTACTAAGACAAACCTAGATGAATTCAAGTGAACTAGTGTTTAAGATAATCATTGTAACAAAAACGGTCATGATTGACATGATTGACGACAAATAAATTAATAGACTCATAACTTTACATGAACGTTAATGTAAACTTATAAAATATATGACGCTCCATTTATGTGCATCATATTAAACAGAAATGCCAATATCAACAAATACGCATGCAATACACACTAGTTTCAACGTAGTCTTTCAAATAACGTTATGTAATCCCTAATTGTTACGTAGTCACGCAATATTCGGTAACATTTCAAATTGGAGAAAAATGGCAACATGCGTGCATGCTTTCCTTTTCCTTTTCTTTGATGTGAAGTGCCTTTAAACAAAACCAAAACCATGAACCAAAAGATACAATTGCGTGTTCAAGATGTTGATCTGAAGAGGTGTTTAGGTGTTTCCAAGTATGCTGCTGGTGAAGATCACTGAAGGCTTTCAAATGGGCAAGTTCATATATTAAAGTTGATTTAAGATCATACTATCATGTGCATGTTTTATACTCTCCGCTAATTGTTATGCATTCTCTCGGTTTGGTTAATTTGTTAGTCTTTCAGGGCTTCTGGAGTAATATTTCACTCAGGGCAACACGATTCTTTGCCACTTTGAATGTTTGTTTAGCGCTTTTTTGAGTACCTGACATGAACAATGCGTCTTAGATATCTCATCTAGGAATGCTGAATGAGTAGTCTACTTAATGTGATTTAAAATGGCAAGGATAGTTTTGCTCGGTAAAGCAAGATTCACCTACAGTTCTGTACAAATTATTTTCGAAATCTGTAATGAATTTCCACATATACAGATTCGGTATTCTGGGTGTCGGAGCCGTGGTTTTATAAAATTAATATAAGCTAATTTTATGAGCCACGTCGATTAGTATCGAATATATTGGTTCTAGAAAAGCTGCTCGTTCGCTCGTTAATTTTTCCATCACACCTCGCAATTTCAAGAGCACACAACTCAAGATCTACGAGGTTTATACATCTGCAAATTTCAGACATTGCTTGCTTCTCCGCAGCAAACAACAAGTAGTACATACATAGTTTCAGCTACGTGCATTCACAGAAACCTTATTATTTTTACATGTGAAATTGCGAAGTATAATACGAAAAAGGACGCTACAGGGAATCACCTTGAGCCACTACATTTTTCGAAGTAGCGTATGCGAAAGAAGGATGAATTCTCGCGTCACTTTTCAAAAGGTCCTAAGTAACAAATGTAAACAAATCGAAACCGAGATAGAAAGTACTTAAAAATAAGTACTCCGTTATCATCAAAGTTTTGGATGATCATTTGAACTCAGTGATGAGTACTTTTAATTTAATCTTGAAGTACAACCAGAAATCTTACTTTTTTGTGAATTGTACTCAACCAGTATTGTTGAGAGAGTTCTTATTTTTAAGAGAAATTCAAAGATGCATTATGGCAGGGTATCGTGCCTACTTTGGACTCCGGAGAACACTGTCGAATAAAATTCGCTTCACCACTGACTATCTACAAGACGCTGATAAGACCGGTGGTCCTCTACGGCCACGAGACCTGGACTATGCTCGTGGAGGATAAATGCGTCCTTGGTGTTTTCGAACGTTAGGTGTTGTGGACCATCTACGGCGGAGTGCAGATGGAAGACGGAACGTAGAGGAGGCGAATGAACCACGAATTCTATCAGCTGCAGGGAGAACCATCCATCGTCCACACTGCAAAAATTGGACGATTAAGGTGGGCTTAGCCCACGTAAGAATGTCGTACAACGACCAGTGATATTTAGTTTGAAAGTGATCCAACTGAAACAAGAAGAAGAGATGTGCAATCAGTCAACACGTGATATGACCGGAACATAATCCAGTGTTTGTTTACGAGAGGGTACGTTACCTAAAACATGCAAAACCTATCATACGAAACCTCAAATCACATGAGAATCCAACAACAAGTTAATTGGTGGTCATACCAAGAAGCCAGTTTCTGACCAAACCTCATCATGCGACACCTCAAATAACATGAGAATTCAAAAATAAGTTCATTGAAAGCCATATGTGGCCACATTGGTCACAGCCGGACATGTTCCGAGAACCCCCAAAAAAGTTTCAAGTTCTTGACTAGAATCAAAATCAAAATTCGACACATCAAATTACATCAGAATTCAATACCAAAATCAATAACAGCCAAACCGAGTGCTTAGCACCACATTGGTCCTGGGTTCTTAATATGACCAGCAATGAGCTTGTTTTAGAGTTCTCATGAAATTTTACATGTCGCATGATGTGTGTTAGCTCTAGCCAACACCTGGACATGTTCCGGATACCACCTGGAAGGGATGGATTTCTCTTTGGCGCATTGCTCATTACTTTTTAATATAGATAGCTAACGTTAAGTTCAATTGAATTTGTCATTAATCCATCTTAATGTAAATAGATGTATGCTAATATTCACCCCATCAATTTTCAAAATATGCGCACCGTACAGCCACACTCAGTGTTTTTAAAATGTTTGGCTTAATATTTGATACAATCTTCAACTACTCAAATCTACTTTTAGATAAAAAATTAAACATTTTGCTCGATTTAAAACGGATTCTAATTCGAAAATATCAATCTAAAATTATTTCAAATTAGGGGAATTTACGTATTCTCGTCAATCTAAGCAGCGTCCGAACTTCTATTAGCGATTTCTCAGTTTCACACACATACATGACAGGTTTGTTTGTTGACATTTATCTGCTACTTGCTGTTCTACCAATTCCAATCGACAGAATTGATCAAAACGGGTTGAACATGTTTTCACAACGCTCCAAACTTCTCAGGTGAGTGTGACTATTGTCGGCAGTCTCTTTTTCTTCGGCACCCTTTCCATTTGAACTGCGTGTTAACCAGCTGTTCTATTATCGGCAACTCGAAATCAGCCGTATTTTGTAGTGTGTATATTTCATTTAAAAAAAAAATATGGCAGAACAGGATTGCACAGTCGTAAAAATGTAATCAGATTGAAGCTGAAAAGGTAAGGAATCGGCTTAATACATTCAGCGAAGAGTTTTGATGCGAAAATACAGTGAAATTAACGTTTCAATTTCGGTTGCCGAAAACAGTCAATGGGTGCCGAAGCCATAATTTACCCTACATAAAGAATAAAAATTAAATGCAACCAAGGAATGATTAATGTTTTTCTTAGATTCTCTATTTCTCGAGTTGAACATTTTTCTGGATAAAGATAAGTTATTATTATTATGAACAATATTTGTTCACTATTTTTTTTTAATGAAGTATCCTCTGACAACTCTACTCGTTTATTATTATGGAAAAAAGGCAATAATTTAACGAATCATCTACTATTCTATTAGAGTTGGTTCCTACTAATAATACACTTCATTCTTAAAAGAGCTCCTTGATCGCTAGCGTCATTTGTACTAACCGCTGGGCACCGAAAGGGTAGGTGTACCAGCTATGGCTACGCGTTCTTATTATGGTGTGCTTCAATTGTGGCCTATGGAATTCCCCCCGTAAGAAAAATATACTGAAAAATAAAAATTGGCTATGCCTCTAGGAAACATACCAAACATACAAACATTACACAGTAATTAGGCTGATATAAATATTATTTTCATTTTATGTCCGACTTTACTCAAATAGGTCGAGGGAGAGGGGGGGCGCAGAAAGGAACAAGGAAAAAACACAATAAATAAATAAATATTAAATTAATAAATCAATAAAAAAAATTTGTTGTTGTATTAGGAGTAAATAATAATTTCGAATTAGGCTGACATAAATATGAAAATAAAATTTGCATCAGCTTTATTAAAAAAGCACGTGTAATCTGTTTTTCCTACTATTAACTGGTTCACTCTATTTTGATGTAATAGAGGTATTCACAAAGCGCATCGCAAACGTATACACCCTCGTAAGTGAGTAAACTTCCATTACACTCCAATGGACCCTGGTATTTTTACGATCGTGTACTACTATGCACATACATTCTGCATAATGTTCATATTACGAAGTTTATTGTCACTTAATAAATTTCTACCTTTCTGCACACATTATACACCTTGTTATTTATCAGCTTTACAGACCAAAACTTTCTTCTTCTATGGCCGTTCCACTACGTTTACGCGACTCCCACTGTTGCTTAGTGTTTCTCACCTCGCAATATTACCCTTTACGGATCTCAATGAAAAAAAATGTAAATTTGTTTGGACTAATTTCCTTTCACATAATTGACTCATTTGGAGTTTGTTCCATCTTCCACCGCTTATCTTGTTTTTCGATATTTACCGCGAACGTTAGCTGCCGATAATCCATGATTGCTGCAGCTGTGATAGTTTTCTAAACTATGCGTGAAGTCAGGTGTGTGGTTCAATTTTCTACGGCTGCGTGATTCCTATTTTGCGGTTCAAGTTCAAATAGCTTGCACCATTTCGCTCCGCTTATGACGTTCCACTCGTTGGTTGCAGTTATTGGCAATAATAAATCAATTACTTCACATATAACTGTCTTTTACATACAATTTCTATAACACTGTGTATCATTTTTATCCCGTTGAGAAAACTGCTCTCAATTTGCCTTGATTATTCATACTTTTCTTTATGGTTCTTTCACTTGGTGCACAACATCCGAATTCAAAACTAGTTTTCGCGCGCACTTTTTTCCGAGCGATCGAGCTCTTATTATCATTACGTTACGATCAAACAAGCTCGTGTTGTTTTTATGCGGTGAAACGGTGATCAATAACAAAATTCCAACTCCGGGTTGTCTGCTGGTGGCGATGATAACGTTGCCACTTTCTTTGCCAGACTAACCTTCCAAGGTGTCGAGGATCTTCTTTTATAAAATTTCAACTTATTCCAACCTGATCTGGCGGCACGATGGGCTTAAGCCACTCGGGGGGTGCTTGAGTCTACATGAGAGCTGAGCTGCTGAACAGCAAGATGATATTATTGAAGACGCTATATGGAAGGCTGCGCGCGCCTTTCCGCGAGGAAATTCCATTTCATAGCATGCGAGAGGGAGAGTGTTGGAAAATAAGCAAGATCGTGGGCCTCACGAAGGCCAATTTGAAGGGATAGGAAGTCTCCTTCCCGAGTGCCTATCAACGCCGTAGACCGCGTAGTTCCGTTCAAGGAGAGGGGTAGAAAATCTGGTTTTTCCTGATGGGCAAGTTGAGTTTGAAATTCTGCGTTTGCTCATCGAATCCCCTTCGCTTCACTTTGTAATGTGTAGAAAGGAGGAAATAAGTAACATAAAGAACTACGAATCACATCTAATGCTTTTTTTATGGTGCACATTAAGCTTGTGAATAAACGGGATGTCAAGATATTCTTATCATATCTTACATAGGTCTACCTTAGTTCCGGTGGTTAACATTGATAATATCTCTACTAACATAATAAATCACCCTTATTTTCGTTTTCGATTGAAAAGCATTTCACATCTTGATAGGTAGAATATTTCCTCGCCAACTAATGAATTGTTGAAACGTGACTTTCTATCATCTTCATATCTGTCTGTTATTTGCAATCATTCTCATTTGTGCAAACCTTTTAAATTCAGCTATTTTGAATCATGCAAACATTATCCAAATGGCGTGTTTGATATTTTTCAATAAATAATAGCACAAAAACGCCAATAGTAATCGATACGTCTGACCCAATCGCGTAGGTAATAGGTTTTCTTTCCAGCAAAAATATAAACGGTGGAAAAATCAACAATTATGGTAAACAAAATCCAACAATGTGTTACAAACATAAATAATTAATTTTCTTGCAATATTTTTGACTTTTGTTTTTCATTTATAAGCTTAACAAATATATTATTTGCTTCGACATTTCAAATCCAATCCACTTTCATTTGGCTAAATCGTAAAACATAAATTGTTGATTAAATTTTCATTTTTTTTTTTATTATAATTTGTTTGTAATTTTTGCAAAGAAAACGATGTTTAATGTTTTAAAAATCGTTCACTACACACTAAGAAAAAAACATGTAAGTTTGGGTGCTCTGAGACTGACACATACGAGCGTCAATTTTGACATAAAAATGAGTAATAACAGACGCGCAATTCAACTCAATCAAACGTACTTTTCGTCGAGTAACGAACTTTTCATTCTGGGAGCACTTAATTTTACATGAAATAATTGTTTACGTCTGATCCTTTATGTCAAAGATGGATTCCATCACGTGTAAAATTAGTTATTTCTAAGTGTGTATTACGCCCCGAGCAATCAATTTCCCATTATGCTGACGGAATGGCAGTTGACTTGAACTGTATGAAAGGTGCTTTCTCCTCTACTTACCGGATGCTTCCATCTGAATGGAATTAGTATTCAGTGCTTTCACGAAGCTGCCAATTTTGCAAATGAGTTGTGTACTTCAATTGGAGCAGCTGACAAAATGACAAAAAGACAAGCAATCAACGAGCCGAATGATAACGCTATGTCAGAAATGGAAAGCAATAATGATATAATCTTCTTCCCTTTTTTCATGACAAACTGCCTTTGCAATATAGCTTGCTCGGGCCGGTAGAAGGCAAGGTGCTTCACGAAGTAACGCCGGAGATGATACACGTGTGTTAATGAGATTTCTGTTTGTTATGTGTTTTCTCGATTCCGATCAAGCTGTGTCATCAACCGTTTAGAATGCAACAAAGCAGGCAAACAATATATCATTATTCTTCTATTCGATGTTCATATAAATAACATGTTAAATTTTTACACCATTTCGGTACTCTGGCTAGAGCGATATTGATGAACTTTAAAAGTCTTTCATAGAAAAAAATACCGTTATACCTTTTACACGACTCCTAAACCTTCATCAATCTTTACCATAATTGCACAGGCTCATATTTTGGGGCTATGTAAGGGATTGGAGGATGAGCACCAGCTATGGCTATACATTTCTAATATGGTATGTTCCTATCAAGGCATATGAGACCATAGCAGCTGATGCTACCCTATCACTATTAAAACAATTCAAAGCTGCTGATCTTCATCTTTATACTTGCATCTATGTAACAAATGCCTTCGATTTCGGTACGCAAGGTGCGAACGATGTAACGATTGCCTTTAATGATGATTATGTTGCACTTTCCTGATAGGTAGCGAAAAACGGGTGTATCTTTATTGTCCATTAAGACTTTGAGCTGGCTTACACTGATAATGCACGTGAATAGTTATAACCAACGAACTGGAAAATTTCTTTATGCACGAAGTCAGGTACGGTGGTAATTAAATGGCGGTACTCTGGTGCATACATATTATTCGAACTTTTTCGGATCAGCCACCCAATGTGATACACTCTTGAGCTATGTACATAAAAGAAGGTGCATCACAATGTGTGTGTCGTATTACAAGACATTTGGATTACTTAATTCATGTTACACGCGTAAAGGAATGTTTTATTGACCCATCAATATTCCAACGATGGTAGCAAGTATTGATACAGCTTACCTTCTCCGATCTTTGCAATTGACATTTTCATAACACTGCAAACAGCATTCTTCTATCCTATTTGAATTGAATCGAACAAAAGTTACAACAACATAACAAAATAATGGAATGAAGAAGTAAACTAATAGAAATCAGCTGGATGGAAAAAGGTAAAACCACCTGAGATACGACGATTTTCGAGAGTAGCCGATGTATCTCAATTACCCAGCCAAGTGAACGCATGATGCAGTTTCCGACCTTACCGCTTTCATCTAAACTGGAAAGTTGTCGGTTCATTACACTGACCCGTTCGATTCATGTTGGACAGGATCAAGTTCAGTATGGTTGTTTCTTCAGTTTTTTTTTTCTGTGGAAGGTAATTCGCTCGGGAATTCAAATCAGCAATGCAGTAGTTTTGCGTGTACAGATGTTTAGTGCATGTACAAGCAAAATCGATCACACGATCACTGATTGGCTGACTGACAGCAGACGAAATGCCGTTTGAAGAAATTTAATTAACGTTTCCGATGCTGGGTTTCCTTCCTGCTCATGGACACTAGTGCATGTTGTGAAACAGGTTGACCATGGCTAATTATATCCGTTCGTATGTTAGTGAGTCAGTGTACCTTAGAGTGTCCTTCCATATGAGATGAGCAGGCAGCGTATTGCATAACGTGATCCACTTTTTACTTCTTTCGTTTAGTTTCCGTAAAGGATTGAGTGCCCTGGCCATACATGTTCCGGGGTGAGGTGGAGTTACTGTCACTCAAGAAAATGGTCATAAAGATTAAATTTGGCAGCCTTTAGAATTGATCAATAGGTCCATAACGCTCCTTGAAAACACCCACATGATTCATAAAATCCCCGTTGAAAATCCTGTGTGAATGATCCATATTTTGTTTTTGTCTTTATTAGAGAAATTTTTAGCCGATCCATAAATAAAATCAGTAATATCCATATTTATTTAAAATTTAGCAACACAAATATAAAACTGTACTGCTTAATTTCTAAGAAATGAGCATTGAAATCGTACGAATTACCCATAAACAAATTGCAAATGATCCATAAAACGTTCAACAATGATCCCTAAAGTAACTAAAATTATCCATAGAAAATAATGTTTGCGCTTGATCCGGAGATGAACCAGCCATCGGCTGAAAATCTCCTAAATAAAGAGACAAAAAAAATGTTAGCACACTAAAAAATATAGATATGATCCATAAATTAGACACATATTTTTCATGTTTTGGAGGTTAATTGTTTAATTTTGATCCATAAACCATGAAAAATTGCTGATTTACTATGTAGCTACTCAGATTCACTGTTCTGCCCAGCGGTGGTAGTGAGACTTTTTTTTACAAAATAATGCCACAACGAAAACCGATGGGCGAAAAATGTTGTAACATTTTCTCCCATATAATTTCTATGACATGTCCACCTCCCTGCCCTTGATTTTTAGTCAGAGGAGCTGAGTGATGATGTGTCGATGGTGTGTTATAATGCAATTCTTCTTTACCCAACTATTGTGTTGTTCATCTCGACTGGAAATGCTTTCGCTCTTTATGTAGTCATGAAACGTCGCTAGAACTATTCCACAGCCACATAAAGTATATGAGCAAGTGAAACGTGCATTTTACTGGTTGAAAAAAAAAAAAAAAAAAAAACAAACAGCTGTCAAGTCGAACACTTTGACAGCTGATTTCGTTGTTGAAAATACTACACAAATCAACTTTACACGGCTACGCTCGCTAGGTTGTATTACTTAGATCTTGTATCGAGAAGTATCGAGTTAGGTCAAGACGTGTGCGTTTGACTAGTTCTGTCGCCCTTCGCTCATTCTCAACTTCTATTCAATTTTCATACAGCCGTACTCTACCTATCCCCTTCAGACCTTTCTCTAGCTAATAAATTATCACACTAAAGCTTCATTACAGAACAGAAGTGAGAATTGTGAACGAAAAGTGGGACAACATTTTGGCTTGTGGATGCGCTTCATACGGGTTTTCTGTGGGCACGTACACCTTCAAAGCATGCTGCCTATGTAACTGAAGGTAAAGCTTGGCTTGTACCGCTAGGTGCGCTAGTGTTCACAAACATAAATGGAGCCACTTTTGGATCTGAAGTTCCATTTCTGTTCTGTGGCTTCATGTTAGATAGCTAAACTTCATGTATGAAGTAACAAAAAACACTTTGAATGTCCTCATAGTTGTTTTCTAAGGACAATGATCCCAGATTGTGCTGCCATTTTGACTGATTTTTCGTAATAAATTATTCGATATTTTTCAATAAATCGTAGCACAAAAACGGCTCATATAATTGAAATGACGTTTGAGACAAGGAATTGTAGGAATCTGGATTCCCTTTTCAGAAAAAATAGGCGTTAGTCAGAATAGCTGAAATCCGGCACAAATTTGGTTCATTGCCACTA